GATTTCACCCTCTCCGTTACTGAAACTATCCAACACGCCCCCCAAGGTCGGCGGATTATTGGGGTTGTATAGGGATCATGGAAAAAGAAAACGGAAACCATCATATTATAATGGGGTATATATTGGGGTAATAGTCCCTCTTAAGTAGATAGAATATGGGGTATATGAGGATCTCATTATAAAATACCCAACGCCAGATTCTATCTACTTAAGGGGGACTGTATAAATAGGGTTGTATAGAGGTTGGTATATATGTGGTTTATACTGATATAGGGCTATCTAGGGTTATATACTGACTGTTGTTGTGTGTGGGCACAGGGCCTGATGCATGTAGAAATCCCTAATTTGTTTGGCACCCCTTGACATGTGTAGATGAAAGGCTCTAACAATGCTAAAATTATTAGCCGACCATCAAAGAAAAACCGTTGCGAATATTGTTTGTGAAGTCAATGAGGTCTTTTAAGCTGATTGGAGACGGACAGGACAGTTGAAACGGCCCTAGGAGGGCACAAGCAAAGATTAATCATCTAAAAGCTTCTTGATTCTTTGAGGCATCTTGACTGTGTAATTATGCACTGCTCTCCTTACAAACTTATGTTCCAATCCCCTTCCCCTACGTTAACCCTCCCCCCCCCATTAAAAAAAGAAAAACATGATGTGATAGATTATCATATATTGGGAGCATTCAATATTAGGGGGTGGGGGGGATTAATGTTAGGGGGAGGGGATTAGTCATTTAGATGATACTGCAACCTCGGCTTGCCGATCCCACCAAAGGGGAGTGTAATAGGGGTTATTAAGGGGGATACTAGGTGCTCGTTTTCAAGGTCTTTGCAAGACGGGTTTGGGTTCGATTGGATGGGATGGTGACTTGGAGTGCTGGTACTCAAGTCATCATCCAAACGGGCTCCGGGCTTCGACCCAAGTAGTCACCGGAAGCTCTTACACATATATTGGGGTTATACTTGGGGTTATATAGGCATAATGGAAAAGAACATGGAAACTACTATGTATAGGGGACTATATAGGGTTCCTTTTATAGGGATTGTAGGGTATATCAATGAAATCTGAAACTGCTTTCGGCGGCTGCCTGTCGAAGAAGTCTGAAGAGGGCAGGAGCTGGGACCTCACCATGATGGTCATGAAGATCCATGCCACCAGTCATAAGCTCCTACACATTCTTATCCTAAACCCTAAACAGGTCTGAGAAGTTCATATAATATGACTATAGTCTAAACCTTTTTAAAGGGGGGTTATATAGGGGATTCTTATAGGGTTTATCAAGGGGGATACTAGGAGTTTTGACTGTAGCTTGTATAATGCAGAAGCCTGATTAGTTACCAGTATTCTCTTGAGGTTGGATTTAGTCACAGTATACCACAATCACGCAATGAATCTATTGACCATGACATTGATGATTGTCCCGATAGACCCCTGCATGAACCCCATTTCCGCTAAACTTTCTGTCTTCCTTTCCATTCGTTCTTCCATTACTGGGGTAATAACATCCCTAAACCTCTGTAAATCCAGTTTCCATATGATTTTCCGCGTTCTTTTCCATTTGCTTTTCCGTTATTCTATCCCTCATATCATTTCATGACCCCTATAGAACCTTCGATTTCATGTCTCATTATTACTTCATGCGGATCCGGGTTAGACTGCAGGAGAGGCTGGACAGCGTGAATCTTATGCTTTAGGCTTGAGGCTTTAGGATTTGGGTTAAAGAAGCTTTCAGTTTCCATTTGATTCTCCGTTATTGGGGTAACATCCCTAGATCTAAGAAGTAGTTTCCATTCTCTTAAACTACATATCCTTATACCATTCGCCTTAAACCCTAAACCTGGAACCCTGAAAACCCCTAAACCATAAAACCCCTTAGCCTAAACCCTAGACCCTAACGGCGTAGGAGCGGCTGGACAGCCTCGAGTTCTCTGACGCGGAGGACGAGGCCAGGCCCTGCTGGTTTAGGATTGATGGTTTAGGGTTTACTGGAACTTCCTTGAATATAGTCTCGAATTTCTGTTATCCATAACCCTCATAACCAGCTGAAAAATTGTGTCAGGGGTTCAGGGAACTTCGAGATAAAGGTTTATTGTTTTGGACCTTCACCCGAACTATCGTGGAACCCCGCATAGTTCCATGTTGGACAGGGCAGCCCTAAACCCCAAACCCTGTCTTTTTAGTGACCTTTTTGGGGCTGCATGTTACTTAGGGGTCGGGAAGGTAAGGGGTTCAACCCTTTCCATTACGAGCCCAGCCCGAACCCAAACCCGAACCCATTCAAAACATCATGGTCCAAGCAGGGTCTGTTGAGTTCAGAATGCAAAATATTTTAGATATAGTGGTTTCCGTTTCATTTTCCACTTTCTTTTCCATTTGATGCTCCCTTATCCGGGCTATATCCCTAAACCCTAAATGGTAGTTTTCCATTTTTTCTATTACTACAAGTTACTCCCCGTATACTCCCTATATATCCATATATAACCCCTATATATCCCCTGAAAAGGGTGTGGGTCCAGCCTAAACCCTAAACCCTAAACCCTAAAACCCTAAAACCCTAAACCCTAAACCCTAAAACCCTAAACCCCTTTGCTTCAGTCAGGACCATCTTCTGTAACTCGATGTGTTTGGTGCGCCAGAAGGCCCATTGAGAATGAACTAATGGGGTGTGTATATTATATATAGGGGGTAAAAGTAGGGATAGTAGAAAAGAACATGGAAATTACTATCCCTCCATATTAATGCAGAGGACACCCCTAGGTCTATCATCCTAAAACCTATGCCCTATGCCCAAAACCCTAAACCCTACTAGGGGCGGGGGATTTTTCCGTGTGCTCAGCGCACAAACTTGAGCTCAGACATCCTCTCCATTGTCTGCCCATGTTTTTTTTGTTTCTAGGTTTTAGGGTTTAGGGTTCATTAAAGGGGATCAAGGGATTATACAGGGATGGGGTTATACAGGGGGTATATAGGGTAAAACCACTGCACAGTCTCAGTTTCCATTTCATGTCGCATTTGCTTTTCCATTTGACTCTCCAGCATTCGGACAACGTCAAAACCTATGTGACCCTGCAAGCTTATTTCGATTTCGTTTTCCATGTTCTGAGGTAATGTCCTTAATCCTCAATCCTTGCATAATCCTATGCAACCTTATAATGTTTAACTTATCTTTCATCGGGTCTTAACCCAGGCCCCAGACCCCAATCCACAAACCCTAAACCCTAAACCCTCAACCCCAAACCCTGAACCCTAAACCTCAAACCAAGTAAGATGTTTTCGCCAGTCTGCCAGGATGACGACGATCCTCTGGGCCTCAAAAAGTAGGAGCGCGTCTGATGGTATTTGTCACTACATGCCTTCCGATGGTTTAGGGTTAAGGGTTTTGGAATGGTAGATACGCTTCAGAGGGTTTAAGGGTATAAGGGGGTACCTGGGGATGCATAGGGTCTAGGGACAGGACCTGTGCTAGGTTGCCCAATCTGCTTCACATCTTCTAGTGATGACCAATATTGTCCAGCACCAGAGTACACTCCAGTTGTGCCGGCAGGAGCATGCTGCCAATGGCCATGTGTTGTCCAACCTGGATGCTATGTCCATAGAATTCCTGGTCCAACAGCATTTGGGATGACAATTTTGTCATAAGTTTCACATGCGCAGAATCACTGCGCAACCCCAAAAAAGGTGGCGTCACCAGTTTCGTCTCACTCCGCAGGAGCCGGATGAGCAGACATTGCAAGTTTGATCCCAAAGGTTGCAACTGCAACCCCAGTCAGTTAGTGAGTTAGCTAGTAAGTTAGTAAGTTAGTAGAGCGTGGGCAATATGTTGTATAGGTGATATATGGGGATTGTATGATTAACACCCACATCTTACTGGATAACGAGAGCTGGTTCACGGGCACTTTGGCATCTGGCCTCGACAGCCAATTACACAATTCAGTCTGCACAGCGGGCTTCTGAAATCAATGCATGTGTGCGGTCGTAGTAGGGTGCAGGTAGTAGATGTCTCAGACAAGAAACAGTGATGTTTGCAATGTCCTCCCAGAAAATGTGGCTGCCAGTCGAGTTCAGTGTGTGCGTTGCTTGGGTGACATGTTTCTGCCAGTGGTGAGCATGTTGCCCCCAGATCGAAGACATGGTCGTGCTGGACAACGTCTCAGAGCACATGCTCGGGCACGTCTACTGCAAGTGCCCGCTCTCTCCGCGGCCTGTGTGCTTGCTTAGGAATTCTGGTCCCAACAGTCCTCCTGAATCATGGGTGCACTCCTGACCTTTCAACGGAAGAGGTATTTCCAAGATGACGATGCTGCCAAGGCAGCGGCGCAGCTGAGATGTGCCCAGCACGTTCACACCACTACGTACTACTACTACTACTACTACTACTGTTATTATCATCAGTATCACTAGTATTACTCTTATTATTTTTCAAATGTTTTCATTACGTTTATTATTCTTATTTCGATTATTCCATCCTTGTTGTTTTGCACCACTAGGGGCTGCTTGGCGCCGGATTTCAACTTGACATCATGAAGATGTCTTCTTCGGCAGCTTTGAGTATTGTTATCCAGGAAAGGAAGGCAGTTCGTGTCAGAGCTCTCAGCTTGAACCTTCCTCGCACAAGAAATGATACTGGGGTTATATGGGGATAATGGAAAATGGCTATATAGGGATATCACCCCAGTAATGGAGAATCAATTGGAAAAGAAAATGGAAGATGCAATGGAAACTGGGATTATTATAGGGTCTGTTAAGGTACCGTAAAAGGAAAGGACTTGACCGCCCCTGTCTAATTACCACAGGCGCTCCAGCAGATGTCCAACCGGTTCTATGGCAGCCGTCTCGTCAACATTGAGCCAGCCTGGCTCAGTTGACAATAAAATGGAAAGTACTATTATCATAATAGGGTTTTTATGAGGCTTGCCAAGGGATAATGAACAATAAAATGGAAACTACTATATTGCAATACGGTTTTTATGGCCCGTAATCTTGTTGTCCAGTCGTCGATGAAATCGAGCATGCTGGCAAGGGTGGATCACGGCTGGGGGTCAGGTTATGCTTCACCATGTTGTGCCTGCTAAAAACCGACAACTCATGTGGGCTACGATGCGGCCAGTTCGATGGATTTAGGATTTCACTTCTACTCTTCGGACAAGAGAGATATCTTGGAGGACCCCCCACCTTGTAATAGGGTTTTAATAGGAATATAAGAGGACCCTGATACGATCCCTATTATCCCCTATAGTCAAAATTACTGGGTGGGGGGTCCACCTAAGAGATATCAACCCTAAACCCTAAACCCTAAACCCTAAACACTGCATGCCAGGTTCAGCCCTGTTGCGGATTTTCGAGAAGCTCGGTGCAGGGCTTTCCATGAGTACCTGAGCTGCAGCATCGTGCCCAAGGCATTGAAGGTTTGCCTTTGGTATTTGGGGATAATGGAAAAGAAAATGGAAACCATTATAGTATATAGGGATTATATTGGGAGAATGGAAAATAAAATGGAAACTACTATTGATTAATATGTCAACGTGGGGGCTTATTGTTTGCCACGTCTCTTGGCACAATCCTGTTCAGCGACCCCAACCGAGGACGCGTTGCGCAAGAGGGGGGATGTGCAACTTCATGCACATCAAGCATATTCCCAAGGCAGGGCTTCAACTGTGTGTGTCCACGTCGCTGATCTGCTCAGTACTTTTTTGGATCGAGTCGGCAGTCAAACATAGCACGACACACAATCTTGTTGCAGGCAGTGAAGCGAAACATCGTGCGGCAGATGTATGAAGCACATCCAGACTATGCAGGCCCTTTGCACAGGAGCAGGGTAGACTTTCCTTCTGCAAACATATCAGGCTCCCTGCAACTTCACACCTGTTGCTTGTGACAACAGCCGCAAAAACAGGATCGGTGAGCTTCCTAAAGTCCTCACCTGCCCCCACACGCACATGAATTTCACATCCTCTGTCGGAGGTGCCAAAGCGGCGCTAGCTGGCCAGCCTGCAAAGAAGCGAAAGGTGCGTCCTCGAAGCCCTCAAGCATCACGTTTATTTCAGGAACCGTAAGTTCTAACTCCTGGAACGGCTCCACTTGAGAAGCCATGAGATACAGGTCCAATGTGAGATCGGCTAGGATTGTGCGGAGTTGGTTCACATTTTGAAGGGTACTATATCTCAAACCTGTTTCTGTTTTTCCTATCCACCACCACTCTAGCGGGATTTCCGCATGTTCCATTGCAGGTCTAAGCAAAGCTTATACGTAGAGTTTTCAGACAAGGAAAGGATCCCTGCTCCATTATTACCACTATTGCTATCGTTACTATTGTACTATGGTTGTTAATCTTATTATTACTGTTACTGTTATTCTTCTGACTACTACTGGTCTTACTTTTGTTACTATGGGTATTAGACTGCCAGCGCCGTACAGCAGCTGACAGCTAGTTGCACTGGTTGAGGGAGATAGAAGCGTAGCAGGAAGTGGACCAAATTTTTGTTCTGTGCCGTCAACAGGTGCACATGCCCACAAAGCGCCACACCATGGAGGTGGGCTGGGGCTTGCTGTGTAGCAATGCCGATGCTTGAAAGAAGCTTCCCGTTGTTATTGACAGCTGATCAGTGCAATTGCCCTTTGTGTGCAGGAGAGGAAGGCAATTATCGCGGAGTGGAACAAGGAGCGCATCGCTGAAATGCAGGCATGACCGGCAGGGGTTTCCGGTCAACTTCATATTCAGTTTTGCCCTTGAGGTAAGCTGGCCCAGAAATTCGTGAACCCTCTGAAGCAACAACCTTAATATATGGCTCTTCCAAACATCCGTTAAGATGCCTCCCGAATGGTAGCTCCCATCATTAAGGGTACCCCAATATAGACACCTAAATATTACAGTCATTAGTATGGGGACCCCATATAAGGCACCCCTAATTTTGGGAAACCCTCCAAATATCAAATATCAGGATCCTCATCATCGTAGCCTCCCGACAGCGGATCCCAGATCTACTTTGACCGAAATCCCATGAGAAATAGGGGGACCCCAACATACTACAACCTTTTTTTGGGACCAAAAAAGATACCCCTTATCTTCGGAAGCCCCCATATATCATAATACGAGGATTCAACCCAGAATCTCCGACCAGGGCGCGACGCTACGATGAATCGAAACGGCAAGAAAAAAGGGGTCTCTTGAATGAGAATTTCCTTGAGAGCATTGGGAACGCTGATTGACATTTCCGTTTTGTAGAGCAAATTCATTTTCATTGTCTCATGTCTTGCAAAATATCAGATTTTTGCGAGAGGGATAAGATTATCTATGATTCAAACTGATGGGTACGTGCAAAGGAATACCGCAATATTACGGCGCGGCCACTTGCGGTCATTTGGCTCGCGCGGCCTAGGTTTTCCGGTTCATCTTAAAAATGCCTCCTGCAGGCTCTCTAGGGACTCTAAAATCTCGGAGATTTTAGAGCCCTTCGTAAAAGCTAGAGGCTCTAAAATCTTAGATTGTTGGTGCGGGTGGCGCGACCAAAATTCTCGGAGATTTTGGTCGCGCGGCCCTTGCCTCCGGCCTCCGGAGCGGTTTTTCATCTCTCTTTGGCTATGTGCACGGCTGCTCGGCGGAGCGCATAGACGCGGACGGAGAACCAAAATCTTTTAGAATTTATAGGTTGGCAGTATCTGTCCACGGGGATTTATGCGCTCCCCCGAGCCGCCGCGCAGATGGCCCAAGAGAGATAAATGAGGCGGAAAGACCGGGCTGGATGCGGGGGCCGCGCGACCCGAAATCTCCCGAGATTTCGAACCATTTCTCTCTCTTCGGCTGTCTGCGCGGCGGCTCGGTGTAGACCCGGGGCGGAGATCCAAAATCTTTCAGAATCTATTAGGTTGGCCATTTTTGGTCACGTGCGGTCTTATATATTGATGGTTCGTCGGGATTCACGTGCGGTCTTATATGTTCCGTGTGATTTATCTCTCTTTGCTTGTCGGCGAGGCTATTCGGAGGAGCGCATAGACCCGTGATGGAAAAGCAAAATCTTTCAGAATTTATAGACTGATCGTATCTATTCACGGAGATGCATGCGTTCCCCCGAGCCGCCGCGCAGATAATCCAAGAGAGATAAATGAGGCGGAAAGACCGGGCCGCATACGAGGCCTACGCGAGCAAAGAACCGCGTGATCGAAAAACTACAAGATTTCGAGCTATTTCTTTCTCTTTGGTTGTCTGCGTGGCAGCTCGTTCGGGAGAATTTGAAGACCTGGGGCGGAAATCTAAAATCTTTCAGAGTCTATATGTCACGTGCGATTTTTAAGATATTGATTTCACGTGCGATTTGATACATTATTTGGGCATCGGCTTTCTCGTTTAAGGAATTTAGATTAATTATCTTATTTCTATATTTATTTATCGATTTCTATTTATATTTATATAATCGTTATATCTATATTTAGATAGATATGATAAAATATGATAGATGAAATTATGCTCTTCTTGATTTAAGGTTCGCCTCTATATTTGTGCTAGGATACCTCTAGTACTACGTTGGGATCTATTTTGATAAAAAGAGATAGGAATACGAATTCTAGATTTGATATGATATGAGTTGAGGATAATAAGAAGTACGTTAAAATTAATCTTTCGATTTGTAGGGTAGGGCGATTGGCTTCGAGGATATGATTTGATAAGAGGAAGATATTTTGCGTTTATAGGATCTATATTTATTTTTCTCGAATGCGTAGGAGAAGGGTTCTCGTTTTAAAATTGGGGTCTAGGAGGCCACGCGAGCTCGTCGTCTTATATCCAGAAAACGTTCGAAATGTTCGTAAGTATTCGCAAATATTGCCAATCGTTCGTAGAGGATCGGATATGCCGGAGAATCCGCAGAATTCAAAATCGTCGTGAAATACAGAATTGCCGTTACTTTTTTATGTCTCCGCATCTCAAAAGTGTCAACAATCTCAGCGATCGGGGGGGTCGTGGCCGTAAAATACAGAAGTATCGTCACTTTTGGATTCGTCTCGTTTCTTCGCGTCTCAAAACAAGCAATAGTCGCAGGGATCGGGGGGTCGTGGTCGCGAAGCCCAGAAATATCGTCACTTTTGGACTCGTCTTGCGTTTTCGCGTCTGAAAAGTATCAACAGTCAGAGGGATCGGGGGGGTCGTGGTCGTGAAATGCAGAATTGTCGTCATTTTTAGACTCGCCTCGCGTCTTTACGTCTCAAAAGTGTCAATAATCGCAGAGATCGGGGGTTCGTGGTCGCGAAACGCAGAATTGTCGTCACTTTTGGACTCGATTCGCGTCTCCGCGTCTCAAAAGTGTCATCAATCACAGGGATCGGGGGGGTCGTGGCCGCGAAACGAAGAATTCTGGTCGCTTTTGGATTCGTCATGCGTCTCCGCGTCTCAATAGTGTCAACAATCTCAGGGATCGGGGGGGCCGTGGTCGCGAAACGTAGAATTGTCGTCACTTTTGGACTCGTCTCGTTTCTTCGCGTCTCAAAAGTATCAACAGTCACAGGGATCGGGGGGGTCGTGGTCGCGAAACGCAGAATTGTCGTCACTTTTGGACTCGACTCGATAAGAGAGAGGAGAGGAGAGGAGAGAGAAGAGATAAGAGAGAGAGGAGCGGAGAGGACAGAGGAGGGAGAGGAAAGGAGAGGAGAGAGG